ACTAAGGGATTGGTGAAAAGTAGAAGTACGCAAAACTTATTTCAAGTTGAATTAAACTTTAATATCTTGAAGGTTTACAAAGTCATACTTGAGAAATATACAAAAGCAATACAGGAATGAAGTCCCATACTATTGTACTATTCACAAACTATCTGATACGATATTCATAAACTCGAAACAACTTAAGACTTTAAACCCGACAACTGAAAAAATTCTTAGGTCAAATGCTTTTGTTTCTTACTGGTCTCAGAATAAACACAGCAATACTACGTTGGCAGTTTTCTAGTCCAGCCTCACCTGCTGGAAACCCATACTGTTTCAATTCTCCCATCTTTACTTGAAACTGTAAACACTTGTTTATGGCCCATCTCTGCCATTAGAAAGTAAGCTCCACGATAACAGAGGTGTTGTTTTGTGAAACATGTCTCCACAGCACTCAGAGTAATGCCATGTATAGCAGAGGGTCCAAATGTGTGCTAAATGAATAACAGATTTTCTAATAGCTAAAGAAAATTGTTTAAAAAATTGTAAGTTTTTAAACATCTACTTTAAAATGTAAGGTTAGTATCTTCAACAACCCTTTAAAATTTTAACCTATTACTAGTTTGTAATACCAGAAAAGCAAATACCATATGCATCACTTTTAATACTGGCAAAATGCTTTTTATAATGTGGGGTTTTAAAAATATTTTATGAGTTTTTAATTTTATTTTATGCATGCTGATTGATAGTTTTATGAATACCTACTATGCAATTTGCACTATCCTAGACATGATGAGAAAAAAAAGAATGAGAGAGAATCCTTGTTTCCAGAAAATGTTTAATATGCTTGTTTGGACAAAATAAATGTAAGAATAATCAAACAATATATACTGAAGCACTAAAATATAAGATATAGTGAGTACTATAAATATTTAGAAGGTAGATTATTGAAGATTTAACAAAATCTGAGTATATTTTACAAAACAATTTAAAAGTCATGGAGTAACTGACTTTTTAAAATGAGTATTAGTGTCCAAAATACATATTTTGTTCCTAAATACAGTGTTCCTATAACATTTTACTTTAATTACTTTCTATAATTACCTCATTAATCACAAATAACTTATCTTTACGATCCATTTTAGTATCTATTAAAAGAAAAAAAGAAAAAGCAAGTAAATAAAAGATTTCAAAGCTATTTCAATCAAATCACACATTCTTTCTAGAAAATACTTTTTAAAGTTTTTATACTCTATAGTTTAAGATTTTATTATTATTCAAAATAATGAGATCTGAAGACACATGTTCTCTTTAAAACTTTTAAATGTAAAAATGAGTGATTAAGAAGTCCTCAAGAATTATAAACGAAGGAAGCAGTGTTTCTCAGACTTTGTATTCTATGAATCCCTTTCAAAAGTTAAGAATTCTCACAGCTGAAGACTATGTTCTAGGACTCCAGTTTAAGGAACACTCACTTTAAGAAACTAAAATTTGAAGTGATGAAAATTTCTTTCCATTGAATCA